TAATGGCTATGTCGCTGGACTCCTACGTAGTCAACCGTGGTTCAAGTCCCAGACCCGGTGACTTAAACTCACGCCAGGCATGTGTGCGTGCGTGCCCAAAATCCCGAGAGGAGAATGGAGGAGAATGGATTGTGGCATGGCCATACCCCCTGTGGTGGGGGGTGATTTCTCGCTTTCTCCCTCTCTGTCTCTCTCTGGCGAGCACACACGCCCTATAGCAAAAACCTCTCCAAAAAAAGAAGAAAAGAAAAAAAAACTCTCCAAAAAAAAAAATGTATTTCTTTTCTTTTTTTACATTTAATTACTGAACATCTTTACAGCATACAAAATGTACTTTCCAGGCAGGAATACACTGCATATTAGTCTAGTCAAAGATATTTCCATACACATTCTCATCAACAATTTCCCATTTTGTGTTTAAATGTTTTGCTTTTTTCCCTTTGATTCCCTTCCTCCTGCCTCCTACTGTCCACCCTGATCTCACACTGTTTCTAGTGTCCACAGTTGCTCCCCTGCTTTTATACCTTCCAATTTTTCAGTTTCTGCTATAAAGTGCAGACATTCAGTCTATATTAAATGGAGGACATACAATACTTCTCTTGCATTGGCTTGCTTGCTTCACTTAGCATTAACTCTTCCATATTTGTCCGCTTTCTATCAAATGCCATGTACCATAAATTTTTACTATCTGAAGCAGAAAGAAACTTTGCAATAATATAGTGAAGCCTCTAATTTTACAGATGAAAAGAATAAGGCCCAGAAAAGTTATATATGATTTGTCCAAGGCTATAGCAAGCTGAAGATCAAATCCAAGTCCTAGTTCCTTTGCCCTGTGTATTGTTGTTTCCCAAAACATTATGACAACATGGCAGGGAAGGCAAAGGGGCGAATCTAGAGCACAGTAGTAGACACCTGCTATTTCACTCTTTGCAATCTGTGTCTCCTCTTATTCTGGAATCCTCTTATTCTGAATCTTTATTTCTCTTTGGAGGGAATATCCTTCTTTTTATTGCAGGCAATATAACTTCCCTCCTCTGGTCAGTGGATGTGTTGTGTTCCAGGCTGAGCCAATAAGGTTCTCTCTCCCACGATTTCTACATGAGCGGCATTACTAAGAAAGGACATACAGTTGGAGGTGATAAATTCACTTACTTGCACCCAAAGTAGTGAACCTTACAAGTTTGGAAAAACTTTTATTTCATAAAATCTAGAGTTGAGTGTTTGTGAATTAGCTTTTGCTAATTCTACATTTTCTTTATTGTATTTCCCTTCATTTTTATTATAGTTATTCCTTATTCTTATACCGTTCACCTTCCCAAAACAATTAAGAAATGCTTAGTATTTTTCCACTTCTCTAGATAACATATGCCTTTTCCAGAATCCTGGACAGAAAGTGCAAAGTAGAAATTAGCTGCAGGATAATAATCAATTTCTCATTCTAAAATAGAAATATAAAAAGTCTACTCATCATGAGCCTTAGCCTGCCTTTGTAGCATATCCTAAAGTTATTATTCTTTCACATGGGCAAGTCCATAACTTGCTGAATTCAGAATGATTTATATTTAATTCACACCTTGTATGAGGTCGTCTTCTATCTTACGGTGTTCAGTTACCCTCGGTTCATTTCAAATGTGTCACCACATTCTCTGTAGACAATTAAATAGCATTACTCACAGTTATTGATGAGAGATTACTAATAGATTTTATGTAGCTGTGACCTCCAAAAACAGGTTGAGAGTGAAAAGACAGGAAAGAAAGGGAAAATCTTGTATTATAACAAAGCCGGGATTGAAGGTCAAACAGACTTGAGATCCTAGGGCCCTGGTTCTGGTGCTATCACTAACAAGTTATCATGCAAGGGTCATATTTTTCTGGCAGATGAAGTTGCCTCGAACATTTCTTCCAAGGCTAACATGGTAAGATTTCTCAGTCACTTATGCAATTCATTTTTCAAAAAGCGCTGTTCTTAATATCTTCATGAAGGAATCAACAGTGGAGCACTCAAAGATAATGTGTTATTTATTCTTTTCTAGATCCCAAAAATATATATTCACAAGGAAATTGATTGTAACTTTTGGAAGGAGGAAAGTAGATATTTAGTAAATTCTAGCAGAATATAATTCACCCTTGACATGCTTCTGTGACCTTGTTTCAGATGGGTTTGGACAATATAGCTTTGGGCCCTGTAATCACATAAGGTCTTTGAACTACAGAAGTGCAATAGGATATAAAGAACACAGTCCTGGCCCTTGTTTTATCTCTTTCTGTACTCTAGTATACTTGTTAGAACTCTGCTAGATTCAGAAACTCAAGTAAAGTCTGTTTCAACACAAAGATCCACAGACTCCATGCAAGGATTGAACCACTAAGCTTCAGGAGAGCAAGAATGCACCAGAATACCAGGAACAATCAGGGACACGAGCTCCCGGAATTCATCTTCCTTCTCTGTTCCTCCTTCCATGACAGCTTTGTTCTTTCTTACTATAAACTGTTTTTATCTATGTTTTAGGAAACAAAGCCTCGCACAGTTCTAGAAAGGCACATTAATTTATTCACTGAATCACCTACTGCTTTTGAGTTCAACTTCACGATAAGCAAATTTTCTAGGTTCTGGGGACATAGTGACAAGGAAAATTCTGCCTCGGAGAGCTCACATGCTAGTGGAGTGAAGAGAGTCACACAATAATGAAATGTACAAACAACGTGTCAAGCAACGGTCATTGAGAAAAATAGGCAACAAAAGAAGTGAGGAGGTGCCAAGGGTTGATGGCGGTGGTGTTTGTTATTTTGTAAGAGATAGTCAGGGAAAGGCTTCAAATATTTAGTGATATTTGAACAAGAAAATAAGTTTGGAAGGAAATAATATTTGGAGAACAGCAAATACAAAGACCCCAATGTGGGAGCATGCCTGACATGTTCAAGGACAAGCAAGGGGACCAGTGTGGTAGAGCAGATGTGAAGAAGATGGAGAGTGTTATGAGGCAGGAACAGAAGGGAATGATGGCCAGACCATACCAAGATAATTGCTAGGACTTGGGCTCTTACTCCAAGGTGGTAAGTCATTGAAAAATACTGAACTGAGAAATAACATGATCTGATTCTATTTTAGTAGAACCACTCTCGTTGCCCATGTGGAGAGCCAGAGGAAAGGCAGAGAGACTATTCAGGAGTCTATCTGAATAATCCTTCTAAGACAGTATGTAGCTTAGACCAGGTAGCAATGTTGGTGAGAAGTAGCCATACACTAAGTATATGTTGAAGATTGTCATGTGCTGAAGTATTGAATATGGAGATACAAGAAAAAAAGAGAATGAAAGAGACCCAAGGTGGATAGAAGACACAGAGTTCAAAAGACCAAACCCTGGAGTTCTCCAACCTTGGGGAGATTGGGAAGCTGAGAACAAAGTTGCAAAGGAAACTGAGATGGAAAACCTGGCAAGGTAGAAGGAGAAACAAGAAAGACTGGTATTCCAGAAGCAATCTGGAGAAAAGAGAGGAGGAGAAAATGATCGTCCATACTTAACACTGCTGAATGATGGAGAAAAATGAAACAAAAACTGACTGCTGAATCTGATCACAGGGAGCACATCAGTGACCTTGACAAGAGCTGTTCTGGTGGAATGATGGAGACACTCGAAAAGCTTATGCCACTGGAGAGGTGCTAACTTTTCTATTCTAGTATTAAAAATCTAAAGACGGGACCAGCAAATAGTGTAATGGCTATGTCACTGGACTCCCACGTAGTTGACCGCGGTTCAAGTATATGTTGAAGATTGTCATGTGCTGAAGTATTGAATATGGAGATACAAGAAAAAAAGAGAATGAAAGAGACCCAAGGTGGATAGAAGACACAGAGTTCAAAAGACCAAACCCTGGAGTTCTCCAACCTTGGGGAGATTGGGAAGCTGAGAACAAAGTTGCAAAGGAAACTGAGATGGAAAACCTGGCAAGGTAGAAGGAGAAACAAGAAAGACTGGTATTCCAGAAGCAATCTGGAGAAAAGAGAGGAGGAGAAAATGATCGTCCATACTTAACACTGCTGAATGATGGAGAAAAATGAAACAAAAACTGACTGCTGAATCTGATCACAGGGAGCACATCAGTGACCTTGACAAGAGCTGTTCTGGTGGAATGATGGAGACACTCGAAAAGCTTATGCCACTGGAGAGGTGCTAACTTTTCTATTCTAGTATTAAAAATCTAAAGACGGGACCAGCAAGTAGTGTAATGGCTATGTCGCTGGACTCCCACGTAGTCGACCACGGTTCGCGTCCTGGACCCGGTGGCTTAAAACTCACGCCGGGCGCGTGTGCGTGCGTGCCCAAGATCCCGAGAGGAGAATGGAGGAGAAGGGATTGCAGCGTGGCCATCCCCCCTGGGGGGTGATTTTTCACTTTCTGTCTCTATGTCTCTCTCTGTCTGTCTGGCGAGCGCACGCGCCCTATAGCAAAAACTTCTCAAAAAAAAAAATCTAAATACAAACCCTGGCTAGTCTCATAGCACAGTGGTTAAGTGCTGAGCATAGGGAAACAGATCCACATAGCTCATTACAGTTCAAATTCCAGCCCCTGTGGCTTGAAAAACATGCTGGGCACATGTGTGTGCATGCCTAAAATCCCAGGATAGAGAAATGGAGGAAAAAGGATTGAGTATGACCGTGCCCCTTTGGGGATGTTCTCTTTCTCTCTGCACACAAATGAGAGTGAATATACTCTCTAGCAATAAAAATTAAAAAAAAGTAGAAGAAAAGTTAAACTTTGTTTAATCTGCTTTAGGTCAGATGCCCACATCTGGACTGATTAACTGTGGCCATAAGGGAAGGGCAATTTGATAGTCACTGATGACCAATCAACAGTGGAGGCTCTCAGGCTGTTTTGTAAAAACATGGGAATTCCTGAGATGTACATGTGGGCAAAGAAAGGAACTAATACTTGGGAGAAAAACGAAGCCATCATGTATTGCCCATACAATGAATCTGTTACTCAACCTTCAATTTTAAAATGGGGCTGAAGGTCTCAATTTCACGGAACTGGTGTCAAAATCTGATTAAATTAGAAAATGTGGTCAATGAACTCTACACATACTATACCTTCAGTACAAGCAGGTATAGTATATATAAGACATACATGTATAATACATTATGTTATATGTATTATATACATATAATACATAGTAAACACATATATTATATATATAATATAGTATTACATATACTATAATATGTAGTATTATATACAATATAGTATATGTAATTACCATTGTGTTTCCATGACAGAAGTTCATACTCTTTTTTTTTTTTTTGAAGTTGTTTTTGCTATAGGACACATGCAGCTCGCCAGAAAGACAGAGAGAGACAGAGAGACAGAAAGCAAGAAATCACTCCCCAAGGGGGATGGACATGCCACAATCTCTTCTCCTCCAGTCTCCTCTCAAGATCTTTGGCACGCATACACACGTGCCCGGCGTTGAGTTTAAGCTTCCAGGTCCGGGACTCAAACTATGGTCGACTACATGGGAGTCCAGCAACATAGCCATTATGCTATCTGCTGGTCCCCAGAAGTCTATATTATGGTATTTCTCTATCCATACTATGTGGCTACACTTTGCCCCATGAAAAAGCTGAGACATATCTACAAGCACAAGAGCAGCTCCATAGTCTGGTTATTGCAAGAACAACACAATTTCATCCCCCAAGGTTAAGTATTCAGACCTCCTAGGAAAATGTGTTAATATCTCACAAAATGGGGAACCAGCAGTTAGCATAATGGCTATGTCGCTGGACTCCCACGTAGTCGACTGCGGTTCACGTCCCAGACCCGGTGGCTTAAAACTCATGCCGGGCACGTGTGCATGCGTGCCAAATCCCGAGAGGAGAATGGAGGAGAAGGCACTGCAGCATGACCAATCTCCCCTGGGGGATGATTTCTCGCTTTCTGTCTCTATGTCTCTCTCTGTCTGTCAGGCGAGCACACGCGCCCTATAGCAGAAAAAAAAAAAAAAAAAAAAAAAAAAAGCAAAAAAAAAAAAAAAAAACTCTCCAAATAAAAAAATCCCACAAAATGGAAATTAGAAAAAAAAGCATCCCAGGAAGAGCTTAAAGAAATAGCATATAAAGCTCAAAGGGAGGGGGGGAGAAGAAGAAGAAAAAGAGACTAGTAAAGAAGTTTCCAGTCCTTTTATTCTTCTATTCTTCTAATACATGTCTGCAGTGGGGATTTGCCCTTGTTCTTTCTTGCTAGTTCTGACAATGCATTTCAAATCTGAAGTGTTTTTAAAATAAAAAAAGATATTGAAGAGCTCTAACCCAACATGAGCCCAATTACTCCTTGGCTTTATGTTCAGTACTTAGGTCCTTAAGGAGCTTATTCATTCTTTGATACTGAAATGACCCCCTGTTTGAAGAAAGGTCTAAGAAAAATTTGTTCCTATCCACAGAGAATTAAGAATTTTTAAGAAGTACTAAGACCAGTCTGACTTCTTCCCTGGGAGTTGGAGTTGTTCTCTCTCTCTCTCTCTCTCTCTCTCTCTCTCTCTCTCTCTCTCTCTCCTTCCCTCCCTCCCTCCCTCTCTTTTTTTTTTTACGAAATAAGGACTTTTCTGACAAGTCTCAGAGCATGAATATGTTACTCTATTCCTGTGATAACCTTATTATATAGTTGAACAATGCAAATCAAGGTTAAAGATGTTGACATTTGAAACCTCAGGCAAAAGTTGAGTTAGTGTCAGGTTAGACTTTATTTTCGTTTGTGTTTACTTATAATCATGATTATTATTTATAGGTCAGTCAGCCTTATATACTCCAAAGAGATGGATAAATTCCCACAATGTTTTTAATTTTAATATAAATTCTTACACAGGGGATATGTTTCCCACTTACAATAATTAAGGAAGCAATTCATCTCATAGCACCTTTACAGCAGAGTAAAATGTTCTCAGATTGGTATTGAAATAAGTGAAAGTAAGTTTTGCTTCTTTTTCTTTTTTGGAGAGATTTTTGTTATAGGGCTTGTGCACTGGCCAGAAAGACAGAGAGAAACAAAGAGACAGAAAGCAAGAAATCACCTCCCCAGAAGGATGGCCATGCTGCAGTCCCTTCTCCTCCATTCTCCTCTCAGGATCTTGGGCACACATGCACATGCACCCGGTGTGAGTTTAAGCCACTGGGTCCAGGACTCGAACTGCGGTCGACTACATGAGAGTCCAGCAACATAGCCATTACACCAACTGCTGGTCCCAAGTTTTGCTTCTTGATTATGGAGTAGATTTTTTACACTTTGAAATGCCTTTATATTTTTTCTTCAACTCTCATTCAGTTTTTTATGACTGTGTCATTATTGGTGGTATTTGACTTCTTTTTCCAAGTATGCTTATTTCTTCCATAAAAGAGAGAGACAGACACCCCCCAAGAGAGTCTTGCACAATGCATCCTCAGTCTTAGCCAGCCTAGATCACAGATAGGCACACAGACACCCAGACTACTCAAGGGACACACACCCATGCCCACTCACATATGTGTCCAGGTGACTGCTGCACCACCACCTGATCCCAGAGATTGAATTCTTCACTTTTCCTTCTATGGAGCTTCTCCCTCTGGGAAAATATAAATCCCTGCTTCATTGACTTCCAGCTTAGTCATATGACTTGCTTTGACCAATGAAATACGAGAGAAAGCAATGTGTACACATTGGGATAAAGCTTTAACTTACCACATGGCTACCATCTTCTCTTCCTTCACCATAAGACCTGCAGTCCCAACTAGGACTACTCCCTCAGCATGGATCCTAAAATGAAGACAAAGTAGGGCTGAGCTGGAAATGACCCATGACTCATATCTTGCATGAACAAAAAACAAATGTTTGTTATTATAAGGTTCTGAGATTTTAGAGATCATTTGTTACTGCAGCATAACTTAGCCTGACAGTGAGAGAGTACGTGATAAATTATTTTACATATTACTTTATTCAATATATATAGTATAACTGGTTAAAAACTATAATAAGATCTCCAAGTTTTCTGATCTCCAAACTTTCTAGTATAGTTTAAAAAGAATGAAAATAAAGTAGAAAAAAATGTATGCCAAGTGAGTTGGCAAATTCAAGTTACAAAGCAAATATCCTTATATTATCCATGGACCACGCTGATAGATTATGTTTACCCAAGGTCATGAAAGGACTCCCCAGGGCTGCAGGAGTCAGTCTTATTTTATAATAGGATCTCTCAGACAGATATCACTCACAGTGTGGTCTGCAATTTCCCTCCCCCCCCCATTAGTCTGCAATTAAATAAACTCAGAAATTAGGAGTAAATATTTAGAAACTCTTAAAGTAATTTGACAATGACAGAACATTCAAGCTCAAGATTAGTGGGATTGTAGGAGACCATTTGAGTGTTTTAATCTTGCATGCTGCGACACATTTGGCACAAACCACATCTTAGGATTGGTCTGCAACAGATCAGAGATTTAGAAGAAGCAGAAAGAAGAAGAGGAGGAGAAAGGTAAGAAAAATGAGAAGAGGAGGAGAAAGAAAAACAAGAAGGATAAAGAGAAAAGGCCACCAGGTCCTGCCCCCAGATCCTTCACCACAAACAGAAAACCATTGATCTAAAACTTGCTTGAAAACCATCAATAGAACCATTGCACTTAGCATGATGGGAAACCTAATATAGGACCTAAAGGGCATAGAAACACCTTTTGTAAAATTAATCATTCTCAGCAAGTCCTTGGGTTGGTGATTAAAGGACCAGATTCCATGTCACTGATCACATGGTTCAAGTCCTGAACCTGGTGAATCTGAAAACACACTGGTTGCTTATGCCTCAAATCCAGAAGGGAAGAGAAATGGAAAAGGGATTGTGGCATGACTACACCCACTGGGCTGGACTGTGGTATCCCTCTCTTTCTCTGTTTCTCCCTTGTAACGAAACATGCTCTCTGGCAATTTTTTTTTTTTTTTTTATAAAAAACTGAACCATTCTCAGGGTCAGGTGGCACAATGGTTCAGGTAGTAGACTCCCACATGGTCCACCATGATTTGAGTCCCAGACCCAGCAGCTTGAAACAACACATGGCAGAAACGTGTGCATGTGTGCCCAAAATCCTGAGACAAGAATGGAGAGATTATTGCAGCATGGCCCTCCCACCTAGGAGGTGATTTCTTGCTCTCCCTCTGTCCAGCAAAAATTCCTTTAAAAATTTAAATATTGAACCATTCTCTTTGGGGAAATTCATGTTTGTACCAACAATTGTCCTAGCATTCCCTAGCCACAGGAGATTTACACAGACAGAGGGAGGGAAATACCATTCTTAATCACCCATTGTGTGGAAAGAATTGTATAGACAGTTTTCAGGTTACCAAATACCATATCTTAGAACTTGGTGAGTATGTTCATTGCTACAAATAGAATACATTTTCCCTTAGAAGTCATCTTACTATAGTGGAGAAGGGCCCTACCTTGTAAAAAAAGTCTATTTAATCTAAGAAATAATAGCTGAACAGTATCGTTTTGTGCACTAACCTGATCTCAGCCTCTTAAACATGAATTAAGGTGATAAAGTGAAAAGAACAATATAAAATGTTATACTAAACTTTTCTTTAAGACTCTCTCACCTTCCTTTGTTATCATCTCTCTTCTACCTCTCTATGCCCTCTCCACAAATCCCCTCTTCTCTTATGCTCCTAGTATCTCAAATTATACTACTTATCAAAATAATTTAATGTAGGTAATCTCAGAAATTAAGCAAATAAGCAAACTGATTAGATTAAGTCGTGCAAAGGTATAGATGACTGATTGTCACTGCATCTTCCTACAGATATCTGCCTTTTTAGGAGGATTGGTTTATTTTAATTCAAATAAATCTCAAATGCAAAGTGAAAAGAAAATGGGGAAATAGGCAAAAGTATTCTAGGTCAAGAAGGCAGGATTACTTTGGTCTGAGTCACTGTTCCCCACTCACTCCCTGTGTTTCACAGTTTTCCCCTTTACTATTTCTGAAGTAAAATTGCCCTTTATTTGTAGTGGTAATTCAGCACTAGGAGTGAAGGTGGTCATTGGTACAAAGGAATCATGTACACATGAGTGTAAGTCAAGGAAAGTTGCACAAGTGAAAACTGAAGGAGGAGATACGAAAATACTTGGAAGTGGGAAAGTTGCACAAGTGAAAACTGAAGGAGGAAATATGAAAATACTTGGAATTTAAAATTTCTGGAATACCATAGATGTTACAAGCCAAAAGAGATCTTGAAGATTATCCAACCCAGTGTATCCTAAAGTGTAATACATGAAATGCCTTTAGGTGGTATACTGGCAAGTCATTAAATAAAATGGAATCACATAATTAAGAAATACCTCCATTTTCAGTTTTGTCAGGATTTTTCAACTACATAAAGGATAACAGCTCCATTTATATAGGCTTTAAAACTCCTCACTATTTTAACAAAGAAAGCAGGTCTAGGGCCCTGAGTCTTCAATAGGCAATGGTATTTAATAAAATTATTTTACTTTCACTGTTTTTTATCATGATTTTGACACGTGGTACTGATTTTCAGTTTATGAAAATGTTATTAAGTTTCCTTTACAATGCATTCATTTAAGGAAAATAAAATTAGTTCAGAGAAAATCTTAGTCAAATAATATAAGTGGTATGAAGATGTGGAAAAGAATCAAGGTGTCATGTAGAATACTGAAGATGGGAAACACTGATCAGACTGAATGAACTGCACACCTGAGTTTAAATCCGATAGGTATGTAAGTGGAGAGAAAACCCAGAAATGGTGTTAAGATCAAACTCGGACATGTCATCTGTAGCTAATGTAGCTCATTCCTCTGAATAGGGATGTGGCCAGAGCATTGGAGCCAGCAAGCTTCAGTAAAGCATCTCAGGAAACACATGCAACTCAACCTACAACATTCCCAGAATCAAGGCATTATCCTCTCTTCTTCCTATGATACTTTCCCTGTTCATGATAAGAAAGGGTAATCCAGTAAGAATGTGGGAAATTTATATATAATATTGCATATATTTGTAATTTAAATAATGATAATAAACAGCAATTCCAAATGATCCTGATCAAATCAAATGTCAATAATGTGAGCACATAGTATGTATTTACTCCCAAATTAGCATGTAAGAATTATAGCTATTCATGTATAATAGTTTTGGTTGAACTCAACGAACGTTCATTAAACACCAAACTGTGTTCCAGAAACCTCACTAGGTGTTGTGGAAAGATCAAAAAAACACAGTCCCTGCCTTCAAGGTATTCATAGTTGCAGAAATTAAATGAGCCATGCTATATTCATGAACTTTGTCATAGTTCATCATGCATTTTCATTTTTAATTGCTCTTCTTAATATTTGCAGAAATGTTGCAATATAAGTATTATTAGCTTCATTTTACACACAAGGCTCTAAGGCTTATGCAACTTGTATGATTGTTCAAGGTCGTTTTGGGTTTTTTGGGGGGAGGAGGGGGAGAGTTTGCCAATAGGGCGCATGTGCTAGCTAGAGAGATAGTGAGAGGGAAAGTGAAAAAAAATTAACCCCCAGGGAGGATGGCCAGGCCACAGTCTCTTCTCCTTCATTCTCCTCGGTATTTTGGGCATGTGCGCATGTGATCTGCTATGTGGGAGTCCAATGCTTTAACCACCATGCAACCTGCTGGCCCCTCAAGTTTATTAAGAGTAATATAGGTAGCAACAGAAGAAAGTTTTGGACCCAGGAATCATGAAATATCAGCCACCCAAAATTATTTCTCTCAAATGTCTGCCTCTAAATGTAATGAAGTTACACATGAGAGATTAGTGCTCCTGTTGAGAGCAACTTGAAGAGCCAGGAAAAAATATAATAATGAAACCTATTTAAAGTCATTAAATCTATTTGAAGTCATTATAAAATTGCCAAAATTTTAGAGTATAAGATCATAGAGAGGACTTCAAAAGTGCGTCCCATTAAACAGAAAAACAATATAGAAAATCAATGAACCCAAAACCTGATTCTATGAAGGAGAAAAAAAGATAAACCTCACAAACTGCTACCCAGACTGACAAAGAGGAAAAAAAAATGAAGATAAGACACAAATTACCAATATCAGGAGTGAAAAAGAAGATATCTTTGCAGACTTCAAAGACATGAAGGATATAAGGGTATATTATGAATAACTTTATATCAATAAATTTGACAGTGTAGATTAAATGAATAACTTTACTGGAAGACACAAACTGACTCAAGAAGAAATAGAAAACATGAACAGCCCAATACCAATTAAAGGAATTATAGTCATAGTTAACAGCTTTCCACAAGGAAACTCCAGGCCCAAATGGCTTCACTGGTGAATTCCATTCAATATTTAAGAAATAATACTAACTCTATACATATTTTTTTAAGAAAATAAACACCAAATCATTGAGTCAAATATTACCCTGATTCCAAAACCAGACAAAGATATTTTTTAAAAAATAGAATTACGGGGAACCAGCAGTTAGCATAATGGCTATGTCCCTGGACTCCCACGTGGTCGACCACGGTTCACGTCCCGGACCCAGTGGCTTAAAAATCACGCCGGGCGCGTGTGTGTGCGTGTCCAAGAACCCGAGAGGAGAATGGAGAAGAAGGGACTGAGGCGTGACCATCCCCTCTGGGGGGGGGGGGATTTCTCGCTTCTGTCCCTCTGTCTCTCTCTGTCTGGCTGGCAAGCGCATGCGCCCTATAGCAAAAACCTCTCCCCACACACACACACACACAAAAGAATTACAAAACAGTATCCCTCATAATACAGACGTAAAATGTTAACAAAATGTTGGGGTCAGCAGGTGGCCTGGTGGTTAAGGCACTGGACTCCCACACAGCAAATAGTGATTCAAGTCCCAACCCTGACTCCTTGCTTTCTCACTTTCCCTCTTTGTCTCTCTCTGGTCAAATTAAATAATAATAATAATAAATAAAATTAAGCAGGTAATTCTTTTTAAAAAAGTAACAACATGTTAACAGATTTAATCCAACACTACACATCAGGAATACATCATGACCAATGAGATTTATACTGGGAATGTGAGTTGGTAGTCAGGACCCAATCAAAAAAAAAAAAAAATCTTAAAAGAAGAAGAAAAGCATTACTAATTCCAACAAGGAGTAACTATAAAGCTATAAAAAAAGAGCACTAAAGAATACTCTAGTACAGAGGAGAACACCCAAGGATGGATACACTTCGAAGAGGGCTCTGTCCTTAGGCTGAGATTCAGACTTAATTTAAGAAGATGTGGTTTAGCTCACTGGATGATTGAAAGTCCACTGGGCTGAACAGCAAGACCTAGTTCACAGTTATTAGGCATGAAGTCCTCATAGGCCTAAACTGGTAGGCGAGCATGTAGAGGGAGTTACATCAGGAGCCTAGTCTCTGGGGTGGGAGAGGGTGACAAGCAGGGCAGCACAGGCCTGGGGCATGAAGTGTCTGCAGTAAGAAGGCCAGATGAAGAGTCTGCACTGTGCCAGTGCAGGGACTGAAGGGAGAGCAACGGCATTGTACAAAAGTGAAGGTGAACTGTAGACATTTCAGACAAAGACAAAGGAAATTCATTTCCATGAGACCTGCACTATGAAAAAAATTGAACAGAATTCTTCAGGAAAAATAGCAATAATCCTAGACAGAAGCACAGAATGTAGGAATGAATAATAAACAACAGAAAAGGTAAATATATTAATTAACCAAAGAATATTAACTATCTGTGAAAAATACTACTACCACTGCTAATTTTGTCTTGTAAGGTTTTAGATTTCTGTAGAATTAAAATGCTTGACAACATAAACACCAAATGGAATTCATATGTCCTATCATTCTATCATGTGTGGGAAACAATAATTAATACTGGATACTGATAAATCAAGAGTGACTATAAGAACCTCCAGTGTAACTACTACAGAATAGTTAAGGGGGGCAGCAGGTGGCATCGTGGTTAAGGGTGCTGGACTCCCACTTGGCCGACCACAGTTTGAGCCCCCAACCTGTCACCTTGCTTTCTCACTTTCCCTCTGTCTCTCTCTGGTTCAATTAAATAATGATAATAATTAATAAACATAAATAATTCTTTTAAAAACAAGAAATAACCAATAAACTGGTTTGGATAATTTTCAAAATGTGACTAAATCAAAAAGAGCCAAGTAATAAGGAAGGAATATGAGGAGCATAAAACAGGCCAAATGAATATTAAGTTAACATAAACTGTGAAATAAAATAAGATGGTTTGGGCATTTTCTAAAGGCTCTTGGCCAAGAGAGCATGAGAAACTGAGCTGCATCATACCTCATCCATTTCTAAACTTTTAACACTGCTAAATTCCTTCTAAGTCATGTTGTAATCCCTCCAAACCAGTTGTCAACTCATCTTGTGATGTGTGTGTTATAAAAACACGCAGACTCTGGAGCTGACAGTTGGAATTATCATGCTTCCCTTTTCTTCTTGGATCTTGGGAAAGCACTTGACTGCACTCACTGAGTTACTCAATCCCCTTTCTTTTTCTTTTTTGGAGGGGTTTTTGCTATAGGGTGCATGCGCTCGCCAGACAGAGACAGAGAGACAAGAAAGCGAGAAATCACCCCCCAGGAAGGATGACCACGCCGCAATCCTTTCTACTCTGTTCTCCTCTCGGGATCTTGGGCACGCACACACACACGCCGGGCGTGAGTTTTAAGCCACCGGGTCCAGGACGCGAACCGCGGTCGACTACATGGAAGTCCAGCGACATAGCCATTATGCTAACTGCTGGTCCCCTCATTCCCCTTCCTAGAAGACATCCCGTTAACTTGCTTGGGCTAATCTAAATTCCAGACTAACAACTGATGCAATTCCTCTCCCCACTTTGCAATTTTTGTCTTTAAAATCTATTTAAAAACTGTAAGACCTTAGAGAACTCATTTAAGGCTGCTTGGCCCCGCCTGGTGGCGTAGTGGGTAGCAAACTGGTGACTGGTTCAGATCACCACCCGGTCAGCCTGAAACACGCTAGACATGCCTGGGTGTGCCCAAGAAACAACAGGCTGGGGAACTGGACAAAGCTGATCACCAAGCAATCAGATCCCGTAAAAGATGTTTATCTCTCAGTTTCTCTCTCGCTGATTCTCATTCTTCTGTGCACACACACACTTTCTATTATGAATAGAGAAAAAGAAAAGTATAAGTAAATTAGGAAGTGGAAGCTGGACATACACATAAAACATCAAAATAATGGGATAAGGATATATGTGATGGGACCAGCAGTTAGCGTAATGGCTATGTCACTGGACTCCCACGTAGTCGACCGCGGTTCGCGTCCTGGACCCGGTGCCTTAAAACTCACGCTGGGCGCATGTGTGTGCGTGCCCAAGATCCCGAGAGGAGAACGGAGGAGAAGGGATTGTAGAATGACCATCCTTCCTGGGGGGTGATTTCTCGTTTTCTGTCTCTCTGTCTCTGTCTGTCTGGTGAGCGCATGCGCCCTATAGCAAAAACCTCTCAAAAAATAAATAAATAAAAAGAATATGTGTGATGGTGTGTGGAAAATGATCACTGGAAAATAAAACCTGTTGTTTAGAAAAGAGGATATAGTCTGAGGCAGCTTTTTAGAGGGGGTAGGTTTGAAAGATTTAATTAAAACAGAGGGACATTGTGTGCTAGTTGTCTAGCCAATATTCATTTTCTGTTTCTTACTAAGTTAAAACAAACACACACCCTGACTTTACTTGGAGCAGCAATTTGCACAGTTGACTGCATTTTACAGCCACACTTAGAGCTATTTGTGACCAGGTACTCTGTCTGGCAAACCATAAGGAGAAGTGTTATGTGAGGGCTCCAGGAGCAGAAAAGATAACAGACCCACTTGAGTGGTACAACCAGTTTGCCTTTCCCTATTTCTCCCATTTTGCTCGCTAGTATGTGGACATGATGCCTGGCACTCCATCAGCCACTTTGGACTATGAGGCTGCTCACCAAGGTGGTAGAGCAGTGAGGAAGAAAGAGCCTGGAACACTGATGGCCATGGAACCTCCCCACAGATTCCAGGCTACCTACCTTTGAACTTCTTAAGAGAAAAACAGGCTAGTCGTGTGGCCTAGTGTTTAATAGAATTGGATTTCACATGACTGACCACACACTTTGAATCCTGGCTGCTACGGCTTTGAAAAACGCACCAGTCATGTGTGCATGCATGCCAAAAATCCCAAAAGAAAAGAGAAATGGAGGCTACGGGATTGTGGCATGACCACATCCCATTGGGGTACTCTCTCCTTCTCCTCCCTCTCTCTGTCTCTCTCTGGTGAACTCACATGCTTTCTGGCAAATTAAAAATGAGAGAGAGAAAAAGAGACCCTTATACATACTTTAGTATGCAGATTATCCTAGTGCTAATTTAGGTGATTGAAGAATGTCTTACTCAGATATTAAAAGGTGTGGATTCAGTGTTGGCTTGAATTTACAACCAATTGTTAAGTCTTCAGGAAAATCTGTGAGCTAGTTCTTAAACACTTTTTTTTTTTGAGAGGTTTTTGCTATAGGGTGCATCGTGTGCTTGCCAAAATCACAGAGACAGAGAGATAGAAAGCAAGAAATCACCCCCCATGGGGGATGGCCATGCTGCAACCCCTTCTCCTCCATTCTCCTCTCAGGATCTTGGGCATGCACACACATGCACCCGACATGAGTTTGAGCCACCAGGTCTGGGACTCAAACCATAGTTGACTACATAGGAGTTCAGCAACATGGCCATTACACTAACTGCTGGTCCCTTAAACACTTCTATTTTAAAAAATAAAATTATATAAACATAAAAACTAAGTTATATTAGGTTATCAGGAAAGTCATGATGTGTTTTTCTATGCAAAGATGTGTCATGACTGGAACCAGCAGTTAGCGTAATGGCTATGTCTCTGGACTCCCATATAGTCGACCATGGTTCTAGTCCAGGACCCAGTGGTTAAATTCTAGTCCTGGACCCAGTGGCTTAATCTCACGCTGGGCGCGTGTGCATGCATGCCCAAGATCCCGAGAGGAGAATGGAGGAGACAGGATTGTGGCGTGGCCATCCCCCCGGGGGATGATTTCTCACTTTCTGTCTCTCCATCTCTCTCTGTCTTTCTGGCAAGCACACACGCCCTATAGCAAAAAGCTCTCCAAAAAAACACACAAAAAAAGAAAAAAGAAAAGAAAAGAAAAGAAAAAGAAAAAGAAAGAAAGAAAGAAAGAAAGAAAGAAAGAAAGAAAGAAAGAAAGAAAGAAAGGTGTCATGAATTTCCCAATGACCCAATATTTAAAACAAAAGTGATAAATACTCAGTGCTCACTACTTCATAGTTATATTTACTGCCTTTTATTGTTTCTATGCCCTTGAAGTATTTGCATCTGTTTTAACAGTGTGGTAGAAGTACTCCATAATGGTGTGCTATTGTTCATCTCTTTCTAACTCCATATTCAGCAACTTCACATTGGTAATTTGAAACTGGACATGGTGGGAGTATTTAATCATGGAATTTAGCAAAGGTTATGCATTAGGGTTGTTTTTGGTTCAGGTTTTGTTTTTTTCCACAGAGCTTGTTGGTGAACATTTGTCAAGGTACTACTGAGTGAAGTTGATGCTATTCCTGGTACTATTATATACAAAATATAGGAAACAAACCAAATGTCTATCACTAAGGAGCTTCTTAAATAAACTGTGCATACATCCACACATTGTAGCTCTGCATCAATGCAGAGGAATGAGGATATTTGCTTTATAATAATATACATGCAGAGGAGTATTAAGTAGAAAAGGGAATGAGAAAGATTTCTGTATTATGATAGTGAATAAGCACTAGGATATATTGCCAAATGAAAAAGTGAAGTAAAGATCTGGGCTTATAAAATGCCCTCTTATATAATAAAAAGGAGGGAAATATGAATATAGATATTTTGCTTTCTAAAAATAAAAACAAAAGGGTAAACCAAATATTAGTAGATAGTTAATTAATCATTAGCTTTAGTAGGAGAAAGTAAAAGAAGAGCAGGAGGGAGATTAAAGTGAGGATCCTGATTTTGCTGCCTCATGGTTTGACTGAACCATGTAAATGTTTTATATAATTTAAAGCTTTTAAAAATTTTAAAACCAATTTCCAGGCCCACCTGCAATGGCACAATGTTAACACAACACTCTGCAATGCTGGAAACCATATGGAAGATTGGGATTTGGTTTCCAAGTTGACCTGTCTACACAGGGAGCATATGCATGTGTCCGTGGTCCTGACTGACTGAAAGGTTTGGTGGGGAGAGGGATTGTGGCATGAGACCCTATTCAGGGTACATTTATCTCTCTTTCTCTTTTTGTTCCCTTTAATTAAAGAAAGAAAGAATTTTTTTTAATTTCCAAAATTGAAAACAAATGGAAAAATATGGTCATAAATGTATAGCAAACTGAGGAAACAACCACCAAAGAAAAAATTTACTTCAACTCACTTCAGACCTACTAATTGTATCTCCCTAGTAGTGTATGTTCTAGGGCTAAAATAATCACAAAGAAATCTTAAGCTGCATTCAGTGGTCTTATTATTAGAAGTAATATTGTTCTTGTTTTTTGTTATGAACTATTAAATATATATCATAGAATTAGGAAAGAAAAACTAAAACTAACATCTTTAAGAAACAAGATTTTCAAAGGAAAGAAAAAAAATAAAAATAAAACAAGTTCAGTCAAAACCCTGCAATCTGACATTTAAATTAGCTCATCCCCCACCTGAATGATTGTTCTTTTTAAAATAAAATAAAATCTTGGAACCAGCAGTTAGCTTAATGGCTATGTCGCTGGACTCCCACGTAGTCAACTGCGGTTTGCGTCCCGACCCGGTGGCTTAAAACTCACGCTGGGCGCATGTGCGTGCGTGCCCAAGATCCCGAGAGGAGAATGGAGGAGAAGGGATTGCGGCATGGCCATCCCGCCCGGGGGCGGTTTCTCACTTTCTGTCTCTCCGTCTCTCTCTGTCTGTCTGGTCAGCGCACGCGCCCTATAGCGAAAACCTCTCCAATAAATAAATAAATTAAATCTTAACAACCAAAAAATATCAGTGAGGATGTGGAGAAATTAGCACATTCTTTTTTGTTTGTTTGTTTTTTCATTTTTGCCAGAGGATGCATGCTCTCACCAGAGAGAAGCAGAGAACAAGAGAAGGAATGTGAGAAAACGCCCCCCCATTAAGGCTGGTCATGCCATAATCCTTTCTCCTCCATTTCTCATTCCTTTAGAGATTTGGGCACACATCATTCTCTTAGCATGTTTTTCAAGCCACCATGTCCAAGTCACAAACTGCACCATCAGCCATGTGGGATCCAGCCACCTTAACCACCATGCCATAGGCCAGTCCAGAAATTAGAACCTCCTGTATTATTGGTGAAAATGTAAAATAGGACAACCACTGTGGAAAACAATATAGCAAGTCCTCAAAAAGGTAAACATAAAATTACCAGCTGCTCCAGTAATTATACTCCTGGGCATATACCCAGAAGAATTTAAATAAGGGACTTGAACAGAAATTTGTGGATCTAAGTTCACAGCATCATGACTTGCAGTACCAAAATAGTAGGATAAAAGTGTCCATCTATAGATAATGGATTAAAAAAACGTGGTCTATCATACAGTAGAATGTTATTTTCTTAAAAGGGAAGGAAATTGACGTGCATCAACATGGATGAACCTTTAGGATATAACGCAAATGAAACAATCTAATCATGAAAGGACAAATATTCATAGAGAAAGTAGAATGGTAATTGTTGAGGGCTGGAGCAGAGTGAGGGGTGAGTCAGGGACAGAGAGCTAGTGATTAATGGGTATAGGGCTTCAGTCTGGGAAGATGAAGCGGTTCTGGAGATGGATATTGGTGAAGATTATAGAACAATCTGAATGTGCATACACCTGTATGCTTAGAAATGACTGACATGCTTAAATTCATTTTTCGTATTATACCACAAATAAGAAATGACTGACATGCTTAAATTCATTTTTCATAATACACCACAAATTTTTATTTTTTAGATCTTTATCATAGGGTGTGTGCATTCACCAAAGAAAAAGAAAGAAATCACTCCCTTGGGGGACAGTCATATTGTAATCCCTTCTCCATCCTCCTCTCGAGATTGTGGGCATCCACACACAAGAGCCCAGCGTGATTTTTTCCATGGTCCCAGGTCCATGACTCAGACCTTAGAGTCAAACATGTGGGATCCAGCACTTCAACCACCATGCCACCTACTGTCCCACAATTTTTTAAAATTGCATTGGGGGTCAGCAGGTGGTATGGTGGTTAAGATGCCAGGCTCCCGCATGGCAGCCACAATTCAAGTCCTGGATCCAGTGGCTTGAAAATCATCCCAGGCACGTGTGCATGCTTGCCCAAAATCTTGAGAGGAGAACAGAGTAGAATGGATTGTGGCATATCTATCCCCACTCCCCAAATCTCCGGAGGTGATTTCTCACTTTTCCTCTCTCTGTCTTTCTCTCTCCAGTGCTCACTGTGCCCTATGGCAAAAAAAATCTTTAAAAAATGTTTAAATTAGAAATAACAATATGAGTTTATTATTTGTCTTTTAGTATAAAATACATATTTCCAAATCTTGTCCACTGAAAAGGCCAAGAGACTATGATGCACTCGTAGCAAAGAGCCTCCATCCATTGCCAAGATTATAGTTTCTTTTCTTTTCTTTATTTTTTGATAAAGATTTTTCCTATAAGGTGCATACGCTTGCCAGAGAGATAGAGACAAGCAAGAAATCATCCCTCAGGGGGGATGGGCACACTCGTCCTTCTCCTTTATTCTCCTCTCAGAATTTTGGGCACACACACATGCGCCCAGTGTGAATTTAAAGCCTCCAGGTCCCGGACTTGAACTGAGGTTAATGATGTGAGAATCCAATGACGTAACCACCATCTGGTGGTCCCAGTTTCTAATTCCAACTTTCCATGAAAAGGAACCTGGGACCAGCAGTTAGCGTAATGGCTATGTCGCTGGACTCCCACGTAGTCGACCGCGGTTCACATCCCGGACCTGGTGGCTTAAAACTCACGCCAGGCGTGTGTGCATGCATGCCCAAGATCCTGAGAGGAGAATGGAGAAGGGATTGCAGCGTGGCCATCCCCCCTGGGGGATGATTTCTCACTTTCTGTCTCTCTGTCTCTGTCTGCCTGGTGAGCGCACGTGCCCTATAGCAAAGACCTCTCCAAAAACAAAAAAAGGAACCTGAACCCTCTGGAGAAATGGTTGATTTCAGTATCTGGGCAATAATCATACAAGATGGTCTTGGAACACTGTTGTGCCAGAAAACAGAGATACTTCTGAAGACATCTGGTGATGTCAAAGGGACCCAGAAGCCAGACTGAAGAGGTTCCCATTGGCCAAATGTGAGATAACTGAGCATGGGAATGGATCATGACTGTAACTTACTGAAACATATAAATCCATGTGTTCATAATAATACTTGAAAAACAAACAGAGGCCGGTAGGTGGCACGGTGGTTAAGGTGCTGGATTCCCATATGGTTGAACACGGTGTGAGTCCTGGACTGGGTGACTTGAAAATCACAACCAAATAAATAAATAAATAAGAGTGTTTTTAAAAATCTCATCCATCATCACTGGAAGATGCTAGTACACTAATTTATTATTGAGAAAAAACAGTAAAGGAAAAGAATTAGGCATTTATCCTGCCTTTTCTGTATAAAATCCATTTCAAAATGTTATCATTTGAATGTGCTGCCTCAAAATTCGTGTGTTGAGATTTGGTTGTGACAGGACTAAGAAGATGAAATTTTAATCTGACTATGATGTTGAAAGGTGATGCCTCTGGGAGGAGATTAGGATTAAGGTCACCTGGGTAGGTCCCCATGATTGACTCCTGGTGGGTTTACAAGGAGAGAGACAGCACATCTGCCCTTTCACCACGTAATACCCCAGAGACGCCGTCGGATACAGCCCCTGGACTTCGGATCTCCAAACCCTGAGCTAAATAATCCTCTACTCTTACAAGTCACCAAGTTTCAGGTATTTTCTGTTATTAACAACTGAATGGCCTACAACACAGGGTAACCAGTTGACTGGCAACTATATTCAGGAAGAATGATCGAGTTAGAATAAATTAAGTAAAATGGCCTTAAACTATCATCATCAAAACAAGACATGAAACCCATATGTGATGTTAAAAATATATGTGAAAGGTTCATGGTGAATTTATCAAGGACGAAACAGGCTGACAGAAGGATCACGGTTCAATCTCGGCCTTGCCAAACACCAAACCGCTAGATCTCCTAGGTGATAGGAATGTTTGGAGTTAGAGAAATTAATTACCAGTATGAAGAAGCAATCAAGCAAATCCAGAATGTGGGGAGTTCTGTAGGACAAAGGATCGAGTCCCTTTAACAAATGAGATGAGGGTAAAATAAGAGACTTTTTTAAAAAATTAACTAAATGTGGGACCAGCAGATGGAGTAAGGGTTACATTGCTGGACTCCCACATAACTGGCTATGTTCGAGTCCCAGACCCAGTGGTTTAAATTCATTCTGGGCATGTGTGAAGTGCGTGCCCAAAATCCTGAGAGGAGAATGGAGGAGAAGGGATTGCAGCATGGCTGTCCCTCTTGTGGTGGTGGTGGGGGTGGGGGGCGGGTGATTTCTTGCTTTCTGTCTCTCTGTCTCTCTCTCTCTCTCCAGCAAGCACACCCACCCTATAGCCTTAGCCCCACCTCTGCTACGAGCAGTGATAATATTTGAGTCTCTGCATCTGGCCAGTTCATTTGGGTTTCCCCCAGATTCTAAGAAGGTAATCTTGTCCTACTACAACCCTCCTATGACTTTCAACTCAGCCCCCTAGCCACCAGGAACTGAGAGTGGGAAATGAAATCTCAGAGCTTCTTTCCACTTGCCCACACTGCCCTGTTTCGTTTGCACTGATCTAGCTGCACTCAGGCTGGTAAGGGGCAGCTTGGAAGGCAGCCTCACAAATGAGGAGGCTAGGCCAGAGCTGCCACCCTCTTTATTTCCTGCTCCCTGGACAAAGCTTGGAGAGAGAAAGCAGAACCATAATTTCTTCTCTCCCCTTTACTCCTTCCATGGGGCAAAGTTCTGTTGAAGCCAAAAGTTCAAGGACATGTAAGTAATAGATAAGTTGCTTTTAGCCAAATCATCTCTGTAGAATATTTCTTGGAGAACTGTTATGAAGGTTTAATGAATTACAGTCCATTTCCTCTTTGATTTATATTTCCAAGATAAATTAGATCCAGATTCAGATTGGAAGGTGAAGAGGAGATTGTTAAAGAGGGCACCTGGATGTGCTGACAGCCTCCTTCTCACCAACCACATGACAGTCTGCATAGCTGAGAAGTTGAAGGAGACTCTGGGACCCTGTGACTTCTCCAATCCACAGCATGAGGACAAAGCAACCACCCGTGTATGTTTTACGATGGTAGAATACAACCCACAAACTATTTCTGGAGATGCTCAGAAGCTGAGGCCTTACTCACTGTTTCTGAATGCCTTTAGCATTTATATCCTAATTAATATATAAGGCCAGGCTGTCACCTGCTGGTCTAACCTTGCGAGGCAAATTCAAAGTCTCCTTTCTTTAATAACTAACAGGAAAGTCCATGAGTCAATGGATTGGGGGGGGTGGGGGGTGACAGGGCAGTGGAGAGGGAACAATAACAATAAAGGAAATGCCAGAGCTACTTAAATGTTTTTTTAAAAGATTTTTTTAAAAGAAAAAGTACACTAGCAAGATGTAAATGATTTAAAAAAGAAATAGCCAACGGTTTTGGATGAAGGAATTTGAGGGATTTAACAGAAAGGTAGATGTTAATGTTTATTGTAAGGAAAGAAATTCTAACCATGTTTCCTACTTGACTTTAAAGTCTTATTCCAGGAAAGCGACCTTTCTTTTCAGGTACTGAGTGGTCGAGGTCCCCTTGAGTAAAGCTTATGAGAGAAATGCCTCTTAACTCTTGTCCAATTTGAGATCATCTGTGTCCATGACTATCATGGGCTAAGAAAGTAAAAAAGAAGAAAAGTTAAACAGTAGGGGTCTCCAACCCCCTCTCTTCCAAGAATGATGTTTCATCTACTATTTTTCATTGTAGGCAGAAAAATCTCATAGAATTAGGTCCAATAGCTAATGAACAGAGAACTCAGTTCAACCAACCACTGCCCCCTAAAATGCATATGCAGTGTTGGGGCCAGTAGGCAGCATGGTGGTTGTGGCATCGGACTTCTACATGGCCAACCGCGATTCGGGTCCTGGACCTGGCAGCTTGCTTTCTTGCTTTCCCTTGTTCTCTTTCTCAGTTTCTCTTTGGTCAAATTTAAAAATAGTAATAATAAAATTAAATAAAATTTTAAATGTATGCAGTGTTTACTTGAACTCATTGAAGACATTAAGATACCATGGTGACTCCTGGATATGCAGGGAGGGACTCTCAGAGACTTTGTGTAAAGTTAAAAATGTACCTCAAGAGTAATTTTCCCATAATAATTGTGTATTTTTTCCTTATATAGAAGGTGTTGGTTAAATGCACAAATTCTAGAGCCAGACCACCTAAGTCAACCCTCACTCCAGTTCTTCCTAACCGAGGGACCTTAGACGAGTTGCTTCACAAGGGCTTCTTTGTGCCTCAGTTTCCCCAGTTGTAAAATGATAATGATAAGAAATAGTATCTCATTTGATTTTTCCCATGAGATAGCAATAGTCCTCACTTCCCTGAGTTACTGAGAGGACTGAATAAATTGTTTGTTTGTTTTTGTTGTTGTTGTTAGATTTTTGCTTTAGAGCTCATGTGTTCCCAGAGAGACAGAGAAAGAAAGTGAGAAATCACCCCCCAGGGGGGATGGCCACACCACAATCCCTTCTCCATTCTCCTCTCAGGATTTTGGACACACATGCACAGACACCTGGTGTGCATTTTAAGCCTCTAGGTCTGGGATTCAAACCATGGTCGGCCATGCAGGAGTCCATCACCTTAATCACCACACCACCTACTGGCCCCACCAAATAAATTCATATCTGTGAAGTGCTCAGAATAGTGGCTGGCATATAAGTGCTTCATAAATGCTTGATTATTCATTTTTTGTTATCAGCTAAAGTAGAACTGTAATGTAGCAATAGCATAAACAGTTTATTATATACTTGGCTCTCAGCTTTGAACTTTTCAAATTCTTGACTTTGTTTTTAGTCTGGAAGATTTGTATTATTTCAAAATGTATGTGTATATTGAGACTTCATTAATCTTTTATACTGCACTATTTTAAATCTGGATAATTTAAATGAGCATGAAACAAGTATGCACTATATGAGCTTTAGGAGTACAAGTGCAATGGGTGACATAAGGCCTCTTGTACTCTTTCTGTGTGTGTGCTAGAGGATGCATGTGCTCACCAGAGACAGAGAAAGAAGGAGAGAAGAAAGCATTCCCCATGGGGAATGGCCACACTTCAATCCCTTCTCTTCCATCTCTCCATTCTCTCATACATGTGCCCAGCATGTTTATCAAGCAGCCAGTCAGAGGATTGAACCATGTAGTCAGCCATGTGGGATCTGGCTACTTTAACCACCAGGCCTCAAGCCAACCTAGTCTCTTGTACTCATAAAAGTCAATTACTACTGATCAATATGCAAGGATTATTTTGGGCCTAAAGTGAATCAGAGTGTTTTCGAGGCAGCCCACAAGAAGAGAAACTTCTGAGAAAATTCCTGTTCAGGTTAACTCCAAGTAAAATTAGTGATGGTACTTGTGCCAGCCACTGTTCTAAGCCTTTCACACACACTATCACATTAAATTCTTACAATACCTTCATGAGGTAAACATTATTAATTAGATGAACAAACTAAGACACAAAAAGTTAAGCAACTTGCTCAAGGTCACCCAATGGTAAGTGGGGTGCTGGGATTTAAACCTAAATACCTTACCCCCAGAACCCAGTGTAATTCTCATTACAATAAAAAAAAAAGGTTATCATGTGGGGCCAGCAGGTGGCATGGTGGTTAAAGCACTAGACTTCAACATGGCCAACCACAGTTTAAGTCCCAGACTGGGCAATTTGCTTTCTTGCTTTCTCTCTCTCTCTGTCTCTCTCTTTCTCTCTCTGTGTCTGGCCAAATTAAATAATAATAATAAATACAAGATTTTCTTAAAATATTGAGGCCAGCAGATGGCGTAATGTTTACATCACTGGACTCTCACATAGTGGACCATGGTTCGAGTCCTGGACCCAACAGCTTAAACTCACACCAGGCGTGTGTGTATACATGCCCAAATCCAGAGAGGAGAATGGAGGAGAAGGGATTGCAGAATGACCATCTTCCCTGGGGAAGCGATTTCTCACTTTCTGTCTCTGTCTCTCTGGCGAGCACATGAGCCCTATAGCAAAACTCTCTCCAAAAAAAAAAAAAAAAGAGAGAGAGTAAATAAATCTTCTTTGAAAAAGTTGTGATATATGCAGCATTCCCCATAGATCCTTCTACTTCTTTCTCCCTTCGGTACCTGTTTGTTTTGTAAATACAGCCCTGCCTGCAGCCATAATGAGTATGGGTATGCTTGTAGCAGACACTCTGGAAATGCAGAGAGTGAAAAGATTCATATACAGTGTTATCACCCAAAAATGACCATTGTTCACCTTTTGGCATATTTCCTTCTAATCTTTTTTCTAAGCACATGGTTTTGTTTTATATATTTATACATACATGCGATTAAATGGTATATACAATCTTGATCTCTTTTTTTAACTCATAATGGCCTAAGGTGCTATGCCATGATAGTAAAAAGTCATACAATTCCTTTATATGGGCTGCATAATGTATTTCTGCATGGGACATGGACTAGCACACCATTTCTTTCATGTTGGACATTTAATTTTTTTCCAACTTCTTTTTTTAAAACCGTGGGGTGAATCTTTGTCCCCTTTTTCATGACAGTTTTCCCTCTTCTAACGTTTCTTCAGATCTCCTCAGGGACTGAATGACCTTCATATCTCTCCATCCTTCCCTCTTTCAAAGCTTACCTTCTGGAAAGGGGCTGGTTAAACTTATTCATATCAAAGTGTACAGGGTTGATCAAATTTAGTTCAATATTTGTATCAACTTAAGCCGAAGAAATGAAGCTCTGTGGGAGTTTAGTCATCAGAAAGTCTGTAATGGAGGAATTTCCTCATGCCCAATCAGAGAGTAGTCTCTACCATAGCAAAAAGGTGTAGGGCTCAAGGAAAGCTGATAAGAAGGCAGCTTAGAGCTGTGGAAGCAGTGAGTAAAGGTGAGGAAAATTTTGAGGGTGAAAAACCGTGGTTCAAGTCTCAGACCCGGTAGCTCGCTTGCTCGCTCTCTCTCTCTTCCCTGCCTCTCTCTGGTCAAATTAAAAAATAATAACAAAACAACAATAATAATAATAAAATAAATATTTCTTTTTAAAAAAACGGGTAGAAGAATGGTAGAGAATTAGAAAACGCACCTAAGGGCACAGAGTATTTCTGGCACTACCAACCTAGTTTCTCCAGTTTGTCTTTACAATGCGTTTGGCCTTAGGAATGGAACCCCATCTTCTCCCCAGAACAGCCTGGTCGGGTTCTCAGCCCTGATTCCCAAGTCTCACAGCTTTGGGGGCTGTGGCGGTCCCAGGAGTGGGAGTAAAGCTCTAAGGACCATCATCTCCACGTGCAGAGATCACCTCCAAGCCCTGTATTCGCGTCCACTACACTGGATCCTCACCTCCACGGCTCAAAAAAGGAGAGTTCATCTCTGTGAGGGGATAATGGTCCCGTGTGAAAGTTCCCCACATCCCGTCCTGCCCCAGAGCTCTCTCTTTCCTCCCCCTAGAGGCTTCACTCGGGGTGTCGCGACCGCTAGCAAATCCCAGGCTGCGGAGGGGACGGAGAGGGACCCGGCGCAGAACCAGAACCAGCTTCCCCCAAGGCGGAACCTCTCCCTGCTCCACCGGCACCGCGTTGTCCCTTCCAGCGCTGGGAATGGTGTGATTTAAGGGAGAGAAGGACGTGCAGGATCAAGTCCCAGCCCAGGGGAGCAGTGGCTCCGCCTCTCTGGATAGAGAAGGGAGGAAACCCTAAATCCAAAGAGCTGGCATAAAAGATAGAAAGAAAAGAAAAAAGGGGACACAGACTCCAGCTGAAGGCTGCGGGGACACAGGTTTCCGGAGAGGCCACAGAGCGGGGTGCACCCCTACGCCTGCTCCCCGGGACCCGGAGCGCCCAGCGCACGCACCCACCCGCCTCCCG